AATAAGAATAAGTGCAGGATCCTGTACTTAGGACGGAAGAACCCAATGCACAGCTACAGACTAGGGACCGAATGGCTAGGCAGCAGTTCTGCGGAAAAGGACCTAGGGGTGACAGTGGACGAGAAGCTGGATATGAGCCAGCAGTGTGCCCTTGTTGCCAAGAAGGCCAATGGCATTTTGGGATGTATAAGTAGGGGCATAGCGAGCAGATCGAGGGACGTGATCGTCCCCCTCTATTCGACATTGGTGAGGGCTCATCTGGAGTACTGTGTCCAGTTTTGGGCCCCACACTACAAGAAGGATGTGGATAAATTGGAGAGAGTCCAGCGGAGGGCAACAAAAATGATTAGGGGTCTGGAACACATGACTTATGAGGAGAGGCTGAGGGAACTGGGATTGTTTAGTCTGCAGAAGAGAAGAATGAGGGGGGATTTGATAGCTGCTTTCAACTACCTGAGAGGTAGTTCCAGAGAGGATGGTTCTAGACTATTCTCGGTGGTGGAAGAGGACAGGACAAGGAGTAATGGTCTCAAGTTGCAGTGGGGGAGGTTTAGGTTGGATATTAGGAAAAACTTTTTCACTAGGAGGGTGGTGAAACACTGGAATGCGTTGCCTAGGGAGGTGGTGGAATCCCCTTCCTTAGAAGTTTTTAAGGTCAGGCTTGACAAAGCCCTGGCTGGGATGATTTAATTGGGTATGGGTCCTGCTTTTGAGCAGGGGGTTGGACTAGATGACCTCCTGAGGTCCCTTCCAACCTGATATTCTATGATTCTATGATTCTATGATTCCTTACTTGGGCAAACTTTCCTTGGAGTAAATAGGAGTTTTGCCTGAGTAAGAATTACAAGACTGCATTTTCTCAGGGGAGGCAGCCCTATTAATAGGGCTCGTGCTAGGGCACACGGAGAACACTCTCTGGGAAAGGTTTGCTTTACAATTCCCCCCATTACACAAAAGGTCTAGGTGGGAATAGGAAGGAGTGCTGCTTCTGAGATGCAGGAAAATATGCAGGGACACAGGAACTGTCCTGCCAGAGCAGACAAGTGGTCCATCCAGTCCAGTATCCTGTCTCCAATAGTGGCCAGTACTGGCTGCTTCAGGGGAAGGTGCAAATATAATGCGTTATAATGGACAACTGCAGAATAATTTATGCAAGTTTCTTCCCAGCCCCAGGCAGCTGGTGGTTCGTTTATGCCCTGATCCGGAATGGCTTATATCTCAGTTATTTTTTATCCTATCTGGTGGGTGTTCTGATTACCCATATAAGGAGCTGTTCTTTTGGGAGGAGCCTGAGCCGAAGCCCATTCAAGTACATGGGAGTCTTTACATTGACTTCAACAGTTTGGATGAAACCCTTGGACCCTACAAAATTCTTAGCGTCTGGGATTTCTTGTTGCAATAGGTTCTACATGTTAATTGTGAGGGGTGGAGAATGTATTTCCTTTTGTTAATTTTAAATTGCAAGTTAGATGCCTTGATCTTGTATTATGAGACAGTAAATACAGGCATCCAATTTACCTTCAGTACTTTATATACTTCTTTTGTCTCCTTTTATATTTGTCAATTTTGGAAACTAACTAGTCCTAATATTTACAGTGTCACTTTACACTTTAATCCTTTCCATGCCTCTAATCATTTTAAATACCCATCTCTGGACTTCATCTATTTCTGCTGTATCCTTTCTGAGATGAGGTGACCAGAACCGAACATAATATTCCAGGTAAATGTGTCCCATTGTTTTCTATAATGTGATTGCAATATTTGCTCACCCCATACATGCTAATACTTGTTTGCTTCTTTGACCATCACTGCACGTTGACCAAAGGTTTACACTGAGAGTGCCCAGGACTTTTTCCATGAGTTTAATTTAGAGCTTTGCAACGTGATTTGAATTCAAATTCTAACATACACTTGTCCACGCTGCATTTCATCAAATACCCTTGCCAAACATCTAACGTTGTTACATCCCTCAAAAGTTCCAGTCTTTTCTAGTCTTGACTAGTCTGAATAACTGTGTCATCTGTAAGTTTTGCCATGCCAGAATTCACCCTCTTCTCCAAACCATTAACGAATATGTGAAACAACACTGATCCTAGCACAAAACCTTACAGTCTTCCTCTGTTAATTTTTCTGCCATGTTGAAAATTGACCATTTATTCCTACTCCTTATTTTCTGTCTCTACACCAGTTTCAGATCCATGAAGGAGTTATTTTAAACTCTGTGCAAGTTAATTTCTTTAATAACCTTGTGTGAAGGACTTTGTCAAATGCTTTTGAAAGTCCAAATAAATTATATCAGTTAGTTCGCCTTCATCCACTATTTTGTTAACATACTTCAAGTGTCTAGTACTTTCGAGAGACATGATAGCCCTTTATGGAAGCCATGGTGGGTTTCCTCTATCCGAGCACATTCATCAAGATATATTATGACTCTCTTTCACCAATGTATGTGGTCCTGAAGTAGGACTCACTGGTCTGCAATGCAAAGGATCATACCTATACCCCTATTCAGCAAAGCACCTAACCATGTGCTTAAGTCTCATTGAATTCAATAGGATGAAAAGTACGTTAAGTGACTCGCTGACTTTAATAATAAAGACGGGTACATTTGTGATGTCAGTTCTCCATCATAACATCAGATTTTAAAGAGAGTATGAATATTTTTCTTAGCCACTCAGCTACTTCACTGTTAAGTTGCTTCAGAACTCTTGGATGAATATGAGCTTCTCTTGGGGACTTGTTGCTATTCGGTTTACCAGTTTGAACTGGCATCAGCTCTTCTGATACCTTAGGGCTTGTCTAGACACAGAGTTAGTGCACAGCAAGCTGGGCTGTAAGTCTACCCTGCCTTAGCATGCCATGCACTAACTGCCCATATGGACTCCACGACAGTGGCGCACTACAAGTTCTCCTGTTTGAAACAGGAGTAGGCCAATAAGCACCAGGGAACTTTTGGTGCCTGGTAAGCTAGTGCACTGTAGATTAACACCCCAGCTTGTCACACACTAACTCCCCATCTAAACAAGCCCTTAGTCTTTCATAGTGCCTCATCCTATCACTGGCAAGGTGTAGATCTCAGATAGGTAGATATTCACTCAACATCCTCTCTGGGGAAGACTGATGCAAAGAAATATTTAGCTCCTCTGCATTGTTCTTATCCTCTTTAATTGCTCCTTGGTGATCCACCCAACATCTCTGATTTTCTCAGCTTCACAGAATTTCTTGTTACTTGCTGCCCTCCTAATTTGCTTCTTACATTCTCCTTTAGCACCCGTCACCTGAGCATCAAAGTGCTGAACACTTGCAGGCAAATTAGACCTGCACCGTGCACTTCTATTCTGTTCTACAGAGATTCTTACACTGCTGTCCATGCTATTGCACACCTCCCAATAGTTCATCAAGCAGTCTGACCAACACATGCCACACATTTGTTCTCCCCGCTTCTAGGAAGTTCTGCCTTTTTCCCCCCCTTCAACAACCTTGGTTATGGTGAGCAAACTTTATCAGTTAGGTGGGTCTTTGAACTGTGCTCTCAGGGCTGGATCCAGTGGGCATTAAAGTCAGTGGAATGACTCCCCTTGAATTCAATGGGCATTGGATCAGATCCTAAAAGCAATTCCATTGTCTGATCTGCCATGGCAATTCCTGTCTCTGGCAGTGACCTGTACCCAATGCTTCAGAGGAAAATGTAAGAGGCTCTGTAGTGAGCAATTGTGGAACAACCTGCTCAGAGGGAGCACTGCTCCTAACTCCCATCACTCAGTGTTTACCTTATGTACTGAAGCATGATGACTTATATTCCCTCCAATATATAGGTGTATATATAGGTATATCCTACTTACTAGAAATATGGATTTCCTCATTAACCATATAATTGTCTGATCTTATTTGAATCCAGCTAAGCTCTTGGCAATAAGTTCCCAAGGTTGATTCTGCATTGCGCAGAAGTAACTGTGCATTAACTTGTGTTTTCAGAATTGTTCACAGACTCTGCACGACTGCCGTGCTTTCAAGACAACATGGCAGCAACCTAAAAATGTCACAACATTCTGCTCAGCAGCTAAGGCCCAGATCTTCAATGGTATTTAGGCACCTAATTCACACTGATTTCAATGGGAGTTAGTGCCTCAAAACCTTGGAGGACCTGGGCCAAAATGAAACTCCACAGTAGGCAGAATGGAGAAAAATCTGAGGCTGAAATATGGACTGTCACCAAGTGTCATTAAAAAAAGCAAAAGAAAAAGTTTAAGTGTAGGTAAAATATACCCTTGAGTTCTCGAGGCTCATGTTCTAAGTTGTGAGTGATTCTTAGGGAAATATTTTGACATTCTATTGCATTTTGTGCAGTCTAGTCCCAAGTGATGTAGCTGACTCAGCCAATGAAAGTTATCAAAATCTAGTTGTGGCCACTGGTCCCTAACCTCCTCTCAATGGCTATGACTGTTCCACAAATACCGTTGACTTAACACTACTATAATGAATTATTGCTTCTTCTAAAAGCCAAACCCTACAGCAAGAGTGGAATTCCAAACGTGGTCCAAAGCATCTGTATTTGGAGGGATCGGATGCACCAGAAATTCAATCCAATCTGAAATGCCATCAAAATTCAGGCCAGTTGCAAATGCCAAACACTTTCATGATAAACAAACTGCAACACCCAAAGCAGAGACAAGTCCTCACTTTTTATGACGTGTTGGTACTCGGATCAGATTTGGAGGGCCAGAGCCTCCACTGGTGCAAACTGGTCTCACTTGACTGACTTTAAGGAAGCTTCACTGATTTACACCAGCTGAGCATCTGGCCTGGAACTGCTTGAACGGCTAAGAACTCACACCAACGTTGAGACTTTCTCAAGAGAAAAGTGACACTTCTTATGTTTATGTCTCTCTTATAAATGATAGTGAGTTGACAGGAGCAGCAAAATACCATTCAGCTCTTCCTCCAGTTGGCCAACAAACACATTCTTTTTCAACATATATCAGTCTCCCAAGATGTCTTACCTGTCACGATAGGGTAGGATTGTGGTCCTGGAACACTGGCTCCTAAGTCTGCTGAAGTAGGGCTTGTTAAATTGGCCTTCATATCGTCTAATCCGCCAGCTAATGATGCCATGGCTGAGTATTCTGTCGTCTGGAAAAGGAAGCAAGAGATACCTCAGCAATAGTGTATCTGATATTCAACAACCTTTTTCTGATACATGCAGTATAACACAATTACATACAATGCAAAAAACACAAACCTAAGCCTTTTGTTCTATCAGATTATCCATGTGAAAGGCAAAGAACATTTAAAGTGTGCTGCTAAATCTGTCACTAGTAACCCACAGTATGCATGTCTCATCTTTGTCTCTGATGCTTTGGTAGAACAAAAAATGGTTGGTTTTTTTACTAAAAGGATCCAAGATTATTATTGTTAAGCAACAAAATCTTTCAGTGTGGCAGCGTCTTGCAGACCAAAGTTGGTGACTGTTGAAAGTAAGTCATTTGCCAGTTACAGTTCAGTAATAGTTCATGGTAACACAATCAAAATGTTCTCATTGCACTAGTCACACTTGTAGAGAAAGACATGCCTGAAGAGAAGATGGAAGCAGAAATGTTTTGCAACCATGTCCCACTGAAGAACACAGTAGTTCCTTTCAGGTCAAGTTGTAAGCAATAAAGCATACTTAGGCAAACCTAGTTACTGCAGGAGGACTCACGGACAGCCTCGGCACCCCATCTGCCAACGCATTTCCAATGCCAAATTTATTTTAAAATAAATGAGATCAAGCATCACCTGCGTATATTAAAGATCCACTGATCTCTTATGGGAAACTTTAAACATCAGGGGCCAGTGATGGCTCCACCAAAGTAAGATTGACAACGTCCACTGACACCACTGAAAGCCAACGGAGCTCTGACAGCTCACAGCCGCTGGGGATCTGGCCCTATATTTAGAAAGAATTCTGCGTATGTGGTAGAACGTTTATCTGCATTTCCCTCCCCCCCCCCGAATTTTTATTTTCAGGGCCATTTACACAAAACTAGAATCTACTTTTTTGAGTTCATCTTCCCTCAATGCCATGATCCCTTATTAGTGAGATGATAACCCTGTGCAGAGCAATCAGGGGTTATGAGTTCAATGAAGAATAAGTAGTCGGAACAAATAAACTTAAAAATTGGGGTGATTTAGCACTGTGCTACTGCAGTTTAAGCCACTGTAACTGCCCTGCAACCCTGGAGTAATGCAGTGGTGAAACTGGCCCCGTATATTTTCAAGGCACTCTATAAATCCCTTTTAAAACCTTAATAATGTAAGGAGAAATGCAGAAAACATCTTGTGTAAACATGATTGCTCCTAAATACAAGATTTTTTCAAAATTATCGGTGAAGCATAAGATGATTTCAGTGCATGGTCTGAGACAGAGAACTCTGCTTGGGGTTTGGCATAAATATCAGGGTTTGTCGATATTTGTGTCTCTGTAGCACAGTTGTTATTAAAGTTAGCAGGAATGTATACTTATAACCCCATAATGGCAGGTTCACAGTAACAGAGACAAGCTCCTCTTGAAGAGTAGGCTTCAGACGCAAGCTGCACAAGGCGCCAGGTCACCCGGCATCATGTGCCCTTGTTGCCAAGAAGGCCAATGGCATTTTGGGATGTATAAGTAGGGGCATAGCGAGCAGATCGAGGGACGTGATCGTTCCCCTCTATTCGACATTGGTGAGGCCTCATCTGGAGTACTGTGTCCAGTTTTGGGCCCCACACTTCAAGAAGGATGTGGATAAATTGGAGAGAGTCCAGCGAAGGGCAACAAAAATGATTAGGGGACTGGAACACATGAGTTATGAGGAGAGGCTGAGGGAGCTGGGATTGTTTAGCCTGCAGAAGAGAAGAATGAGGGGGGGATTTGATAGCTGCTTTCAACTACCTGAAAGGGGGTTCCAAAGAGGATGGCTCTAGACTGTTCTCAATGGTAGCAGATGACAGAACGAGGAGTAATGGTCTCAAGTTGCAGTGGGGGAGGTTTAGATTGGATATTAGGAAAAACTTTTTCACTAAGAGGGTGGTGAAACACTGGAATGCGTTACCTAGGGAGGTGGTAGAATCTCCTTCCTTAGAGGTTTTTAAGGTCAGGCTTGACAAAGCCCTGGCTGGGATGATTTAACTGGGAATTGGTCCTTCTTTGAGCAGGGGGTTGGACTAGATGACCTTCTGGGGTCCCTTCCAACCCTGATATTCTATGATTCTATGATTCTATGATTCTAGGGAGCACTTGCTGGAGGGTGTGCCAAATATTTGTGGCCAAGCTTATAACTGCTGGTGTCATCATCATGGTATCTTGCCAGAGGATCAATTGCGTGATACTCTCTGGGCTCAAGATTTTTCAGGCAGGTGAAAATACTAAAGCATAACCCCACGTGTCCTGTCTCCTTCACTCCTCAGAGTCTTCTGCCCCTTCTTGAGTCTGAAATGCTCCTTGTCTTGACACATCTGTGGGTGTGCCTATCTGCTGATCAGCACTTCCTCAACAGCTCTGCGTATGCCACTACTTCCACTCCACGACATCCATGCCTTCATCTTCGCTAGCCTTGATTATTAAAACCCTATCATATCCCCTAATCCTTCAGAGGGTCCTGAATACCACTGCAGACCTTCTCATGTCGTCGTCTTGTAAAGATGATCAGTGCCTTTGAAAGTTAATTTACTGGAGTAATAAGCACTATGGGACTGTGTGAGCAGTTTGGCACAGGGAAACCCTGACTTCTTGAAGTCAAGTTGTGCATTAGCATATTCTGTAAAGGAGAAGAGAGCACACAAAATTTCCTCCGAAAAAGTAGCATTTATTTAATACGTGCTGTTACACTGGAGTACATAGATCTGCCCTGTTCAGTGGTTAGAATCCTTCTTTCACTAGAACGAGCTGAAGTTAATTATAATGTTGATGACAGTTCACTTAAAGGCACAGTACTGATGCAGCTTAATGCTTACCTAGAGCACTTCAAGTACGTCTGTGCTGCAGTCACGGGTGTGATTGTAGCAGGTGTAGACATACCTGAGCTAGTTTTAATCTAGCTAGATCAGGTACCAATAGCAGCACAGGTTTCAGCATGGGATGAACAAGCCCATCCGGGATCCTGGGTATGTATTCGGATAACTAGCCCATGCTGAAGTCTGTGCTGCCATGACATCACTGCTAGCGGTACCCAAGCCAGCTAAAGTTGGTTCTGATATATCTACTCCTGCTGCAATCACACCTCTGACTGTAGAGTAGACAAACCCTGTGGTGAGTCTAACTAGCACCATTAACACTTTGTAAAAAGAGTTATAGTCTGAAGCTGCCTGATATAAAACATCAAGCTGTGCCAACATACTGAGCCAAATTCAGACCTAGTGTAAATGGATGCACTTCTATTGACCCACTTACAGCGGGTCTAAATTTGGCCAACTCTCAGCAATCATGCTAAAGATTTCTATGCTAGCAGCATGGTTTCCACTGCTATTGCAACTGCACTTGCAACTAATATGTTCACTGTCAGCAAAATGCAAGTTTTATAGGCCCGGGAACTGTCTACAATGCTTATACATTTTACCCTTCTTCTCCTTTCACTATATTGGACTTACAACCTCTAGTAACAGGTTTTGGATCAAGGAATATCAGGATTAGACCTCACATTTCAACTATAATTACTCCAAAACATAAGGGCAAACAAAGCTTATCAAACCAGAAGACATTTTCTATACTCCCAGTAATAGAAGCCTTAAACTTTGTACAAGAATTAGTATCGATAGCTACAGTAAAAGTTTGTAGTTAAGAGTTTTTGCACAGAACTCACTGCTTGCCCCACTCAAACAGACTTGGAAAGTCAGCAGGTACTTCCCCACTCTTTCACTTCATGTCTGTAAAGATGCACCTGGTGCCAATGTTGTTCTTTTTGACCACAGCATAGAAAGCTTATTGATAACTTCCTAACTGTAAGAACAGTAGGAAAATGGAACAGACTGCCCTGGAAGGTCATGCAAGCTCCTTCACTGGACATTTTCCAAAGGAGGCTGGATAGCCATCTGTCTTGGATGGTTTAGACCCAACAAATCCTGCATCTTGGCAGCGTGTTAGACTTGATGACTCTTGTGGTCCCTTCTAACCCTATGGGTCTGGATGCCTATCTTAGGCATATAAAATAGGATCTGCCAAAGTTGGTGCAATACCCTGAGTTTTGAGACACCTTCTGCAGGTTGGAACAAATGAAGCTACTACTGGCTTTAAGAAAAAAATGTGTGGAAATTCATCACTAACTCAGCCCAGGATGTCAGAATAAGGAGGCAGCAAAGGTGGCTTTAGGTCACCTATGAGCCTTCCATGTTCTGGGGATGGCTAGCCTACCACAGGTCAGAGCAGCCTCAGCTTGGTCCAAGTTTGCACCTAGCTGAGGGCCCAAGGGGTTCTTTCATCAGCTGGGAATAGCCAGAATACAGTGGTGTTCCAGCCATGCGCCCATTCCCATGCTCTTAACACACACCCTACACCAGGGACTGCGGGATGATACAGAGCCATGACACCACTGGGGAGCCCCCTACATTGTAGAAGTTCCTCTGGGGCTCTGACTGCCAACTTTACCGGCCTGTTGCTATGGCCTGGCCAGCACTAAGGCCCTGAACTGAGCCATCCTCCAGCAATACCTACTCATGTTTGTTGGTACTTGAGGCAAGAGGAATATGGATAAAGCCTCAGTCAGATAAAGCATAGCCCTTTATCACATCATCAGTAACACAGCTGCCTGCTGGTCAATGGCTTTTCCACTTATCCCCTCAGAAAGCAATATGCCCAAACAGAGAGAGAAGAACATTAACTGCTGTATGGGTTTTCCCCAAAACAGCAGCTGTTAGGAGACCCTGACTACAAGGCAGCACCCTTGATGGTGCCCACTATTGTGCTCAGCATTCCCGCGTTTCGTGGCAGTGCACTCCATATGTGCATGCCTCGCGTGTGCTGGTACCAGGCCAAGACAGCTGTGATGAAATGAACAATGCCCATCTTGTGCCAGGTTTAGACTGGCATTTACCACTGTTCATACGGCTTTGGAAACAGAAAGTACAATCGTCCTGGAAAAAGCAGTTCACACTGCAGAGCTGTAGGGTATGTTAACAAG